AGGCAAAAAAAAAAAAAAAAAAAGAGGAAAAATAATTCCAAATTATGTGCTCCATCAGAATCTCCTAAAAATCAGAAAATCTCGATCCAGGTTCACACTGATAGATTAATAAGCTTCCAGCTATGACAAAGTCAGTTTGCCCAACTCTTCTTAGAAGTACAGTGGAGTCCATATAAATAGTGATTTATAGAGAACATCTGGAGAGTCTCTTCTCCAGATTCCCACCTACAGAAGTTTGGTATGTGATGACCAAAGAAAACCATTTTCTGTTATGGAACTTTGTATGTTATGGTAAGCATTTGATTTTTTATATAGATATTTAGAGTTTGAACTTAGAATTTAAGTTGATTGCTTTTGTGTTATGCAAACATTTTGAAAAAGAAAACACAAAATATATAAATAACCTTATCTACATAATTTTATTTTACTGATAGGAATCAAGCCACTGTATTCATAGTCCTGTGCCCAACACAAATTCTAGATCACCAACCTTCATTTTCTCTTTGCCAAACAGTATGAATATCTTGCAAGCTCAGAGTTTCTCACCAGCAAGTTATTGAGCCAACAAATGGATTTGATCAAGGATAAATCCATCTTCTACTTGAAGAAAGCTACTTGGATAACATTCATTTGCACATATATACAGACAGCACAAAATAAATTTACAGTTCTCTCATAATGCAGTGCCTTTTCTTGATTGCTAATGTTTAATTGCTAAATATTTTCCACATAGATAATGCAAGATGAGTTTGTCCTACACATAAAGCCAGAAACTAATTGATTATAAATGGTAGAGTTTAGCTCACACATCCCTTCCCCCAGTGATTTCTCCTTCAAGATATATGCTCTTTGAAAATTACTCAGAATGACTACATACATGACTTGCCAGGATGACAACCTTTTGGCAAGCTGTCAATCACAACAGCTCAATAATTTCTCAAGAACATTTTGAGTTGAAATGACATATGCTAGCACACACTATTTATTTTGTGCATAATTCAAAGCTATTCAATAGTTTATATCCACAAATCATTGTCTGAAGTACTTTCTAAACATCTTCAGTAATTTTGTTGCATCCACCATAGTTAATATTTTAAAATGAACAAAAAGGGTAAGCAATTTATGCTTTGATATCTATGTTGAAACAATAGGAGGCTTACTAGGCTGCTAGAACTTATGTGGAATGGGATGAAGTGAGATGCCAAACAAAAACATTTCTTTTCAGATCACAACATGATGCAATAGCATGATCCAGATGCAAAAAACAAACAAACAAAAAAACCCAAATGCAGTCCTGTGCTGAATCAAGAGAGTTTGGGTGTCAAAATCAAGATAAGTCATCATTCCTGTGTATTCTTCATTAATCAGATTGCACCTAGAATATTGCATCTGGTTCTGGGCATTGCATTTTAGGAAGAACATTAAGAAAATGGGGCTTGTCCAGAGAGAGGAACCAGGATGATAATCCTGGAAGGAAAAATATGTGAGGAGTTGAAGACACGTATCTTAGTATCTTTAGTGTAGAGGTTGTGATGGGTCTGTCTCATGAGCCACACCACACTGGAGAAATAGGACTTGGTAGATTTCTGATCTTCTACCTCAGGAGCCAAGGAACTCTCAGATATCTGTAGGTGAAGCTCAGAAAGAGCAGGTTATCTTGGAGGATAAGTCTGGAAGTCTGAAGCATTTAAATAATCAATAGAAGAGAATATATGTAGCTCAGGGTTGAACTGTGGAGTCCTTGGGGTTCTCTGAGCTTGTTTTCTTGCAAACATTTTATTTACCCAACTAGGTAATATCTTCAGTGTTATTTAAATAATCAGTCACCTGTTGCAGAGCCTGACCTAAAGCCTGAAGAGTAAATTATCCTGCAGTCTTTGCATGAAAAGAAAGATCAAGTAAGTAGAACAGATATAGTCAATCAGGCTCCTCAAAATAAACTGGCATGCCTCTGAGTGTTATAAAAAAAGACCCTGGGAGTCAAACTTCTGTTGGCAAGCAACTGTCCAACTTTGGACCTGACTTCCTGAATGCCTGGTGTTAAGACTCAGCTCTGATTCCTAGATCTTGGATTTGTCTGCATGGAACCTCAGCTTCTGAAGTAAGCTTGTTTGTTTTTCCTGAGCTGTCACATTCCTGTGTTGTGATGAGGTTAATAGCTGTTGTACAGACTTCTGAGCTGACCTCCTGAATTTGTAATTGCTGGGACAGGACAGAGATATGTTTAGCTTGTAGAAGAGAAGACTGCAGGGGCACGTGATAATTGTCAGGTAGAAGATGGGATGGAATTGAATTGTTCCAGAAAACAGGACAAGAAACTATGGGTTTTAATTACAAGGAAGTAGATTCTGACTGGTTATTAGGAACGATTTCCTAATGGTAAGAGCTGTTCAACAATGGAAACATGGGGCTTGGGAGGAGGTAGACTCTCTGCTGGAGAGGTTTAAAGAGAGGCTGGATGACCATCTGTTGGGGATGTTGCAGTAGACAATTTCCAAACTCCTTTCCAACTCTCCTGTTCTATGATTCTGTAAGAGAGGTCTGAGACAATATAGAATAGAGGTGGGTGATGTGTTATTTCCCAAGCTGTCTCTGACTAGCTGAAAAACAGTGGGTGATATAGTTTCTATAGAATGGGAAACACTTAATAATGGTTGTGTATGCCCTAAAACTGTAGTGAAACCTCTAAAATATCTAAAATTTTCTAAAATCCCCACAAAAGCCTCCTCCCCCCAAAGCCCCTCATTGAATTCAGTTTGCACTGACACCCCAAATTGTCTTAAATGCAGCACCCAGCTACTACAAAGTGACCCTTTCCTGATGTAGAGGGTAGAGCATGGGAAACCTCTATCATATGGGTCATAGGAATCTCTGATTATCTCTGAGTTCACATTGTCAGATTCAGCCTAGAAAGCACACACTGCTAGCACAGAGCCCTTCGTCAGTTCCACTGCCTCAGGCAACAGGTGATCAGGGCAAGGAAACAAGATAACTGCAAGTTAACTACCGACAGGGGCGGGCAGTTAACGCGCAGCAGGAGCCAATTAGAAGTGGCAACACTATAGCGCAGCCAGTTCCTCAGGCGCCCCGGGCAACTCCGGCTTACGATACACCGGGAGCGCAGCAATCCAGAGGCAATCGGCGGGCAATTCGAAACCAGATTAAAGCAGCCACTCCAACTCACCATAAGAAAAGCCCAAAGAATGCGAGGGCAAGGCAGACAAAGGAAGAAGATTATAACACAACAGAAACCAGCTGAATCTGCCATCAAGGCGAGGGGAAGGAAGATCGAAATGAACAGATGGGTAGCCCAGGGCAAGGGTAAGGGGCAGAACCGAGGGGTAACTACAGGTCGGGGGGGGGGCTATAAAACTGTTGTAAGAAACTGTGCCAGGCCAATCCTGGCTTTGTCTGTAACCACTACGCATTACGCCTGAATAAACTACCTTTCGCCGGAGCCTGTGCCTCATGAGGTTTCTGTTCAGTGGCAAATGCAGCGAACCTTACACACATCACACTATAATTCTCCTCAAATGTCATCACTTTAATGGGGAGTGGGCAACTTTTTTTTTAGCTGAAAGCTGGACTTGAATGGTGTTTGGCAGCCATTCTCCAAAGGAAGCATGGTTAGAACAAAAAGGTGGCAGGGCCAGTAGGTCCTAAAGTAAACAATTTGAACATATAAATAAATTAAAACTTATCAGCGTTTATTAATGGGATAAGTTCTTGTGCACTTATTTCCTACCATGTTTGCTTCCTTCCTCTTGCTTTCATTAAATTAATGAAATAAAATCAGTATGATTATTTCTGATGCATTTAATTCTTCTGTTTGCTTCATCCCATCCCATGCCCATCAGTTAATCATTATTAATTCAATTAACTAGACTTAGCATGATTATATTCCACAATATTTAATACACTCCCTGTTTATCTAGTTCACTCCAATTCACTCATTTAAAATCACTTTTAACTGCTGTTCTCTGTGTCTCTTTCTTTCAGTGGATACAACAGAGATCAAAGGGTTTGAGGGCAATTTGGGAAGTCCAGTGAACCCACCTGTTTTCAGTTGCAAGTGAATGACTGAACCCCACAGGGTACTTGGGACTTTGGAAGCTGGAAGGGTTAGGGTTAGGGTTGTCTGATCAAAGGTAATGGCTCTGTCTTGTCTGATCAAAGGTAATGGCTCTGCAAAATGCAACAGCAAAATGCTGTGCCAGAAAAGAAGTCAGAAGTAAGGCAAGAGACAAGCAGGAGACATTTCCTTCCCTTCATAAATCTAACCCTTGCTTTTGTGGGGTGCTGCAGGGCTCAACACTTCCACCTAGACCTACATGAAGCCACTGAGGAAAGTCATCCAGCAACATGGGATTAGGTATAATCAATACACTGATGCTCAGTTGTGTATCTCAGCCCCTGTTTGTCCATATGATGCCAACAAGGTTCTGTCCCAGTATCAGAAGGCTCTGTGGGTCTGCATGGAGAGGAACAGGATCAGGCTCAAGCCTCAGCCCTAGCTATGGGTTTTAGGGGAACCAGATCCTGGAGGGGTTACATTGTCCCAGTCAGAACTGGTGTGCCATCTGGAGTCATCTTGGATTCATAGCTCCTGCTTGCCCAATTTAATCTTTGGTGTCAGTTGCACCAATTCCTGGATTGGGAGGCTCTGCTCACAGTCACTCATGCATTGGTGACCTCTGGCTTGGATTATTGCAACATGCTCTAATGGGGCTGCCTTGTAGGCAACCCAGAAGCTACAGTTGGTCCAGAATGCAATAGCACATGTAGTTATGGGTGCATTTCAGTACACTCATGTAATGCATGGTTACCAATAGGTTTCTGGGTTCAATTCAAGGTGCTACTTATCAACCACAAAGCACAGGACCAAATATTTGAGGGACTGTCTGTCTTTGATTATCTTTGCCTGCCCAACAAGATCAAACAGAGTTGGCATGCTCCTGGATTATTAAACAGTGCCATCTAGCAGGACCTGGAAGCATGTTGCTGTGCTGTCCACATGGAACAGCATCTCCCTCTCCCCCCAAGATCTGGGTGGCTTTGACTCTGCTGGCCTTTAGAAATAATATGCTTGGGCTGGGATGGTGCATGAGCCATCAATGTGTTCATATTGATGTGAAGTGAATTTTGATCCAGTGTGTGTATGTCCTCTTTTTTTCTGGATTTTTTTTTTAAAAAATGTGTATTTCTTTGCTGTTTTTAAAAGTTTAGTCACCCAGAGATGTGTACAGCTGGGCAGCTAAGATAGATAGGCAGACAGTCAGACTGATAGACAGATAGTTTTTTTGCTTAGGGAAATGAAGACAGACCATAAACATTGACTATTTTTTCTACTCTCCTTAGGGTATACTTTCCACAGTGTTTTACAAATATTTATTTATTTGGCATAGATATTGATTTATTCTAAAACAGTTACAAATTTCCAATTTGACCAACCCTGGGCAGTGTCCAAGAGCAATCCCACAAAGAATATCTCAACAATTTAAAAGCAATAAAACAAAACAATCTAGTAATCATAAAAAAATAATAATGTGTGGATGATCCTCCTCATCCTAGGGTTCAAAGGCCACTTGAAACAAATTGGTTCCCATCCTTCTCTTTTTCAGGAAGGCCCTTAAGACAATTATTCCTTGTGGGTAAATATATTCTACAGTGGGGAGGCTACTTGCAGGAATGCCTGCCTTCCAATCCCAGACCTAATCTAATAATTTCAACCAGGGGCAAAATCCTTAGTGCACCTTCCCTCCATATTCAGAACAGAAATACATTTGGCAAGATATACCTGATTTACCTATTTATCTACTGATTTCTACTTCAGCTTCCAGGCAAAAAACTACCCAGCAGGCATGAGATGAAGTAATAGTTATAATCTAAACAAAAATTCAAATATAATTAATTACATTTCCCCTGAACAGAAGCACTGAAGATCCTCTATATTATTTCATATAGGACAGACTTTCAGTTATTCTTTGTCACCACCCAGAGTTCCTTTTGGTAGATGGGTAGCCATATAAGTTTGTTTAATAAATACATAAATATATAAAGAAAATACATAATTAAACAATGTGTCATACTAATTCCTTCTTAGATCTTATACCAGTGTCCTGCTAAGTGGGACCACTAAAGTTAACTCCGTATAGAAATTGATTTCATAATATTTATTTATTTGAGTGTTTTCCACTGCATGCACATTGATCTTGAAACTGTATATCCTAAAAATCTGTTAAAGACCTTTCTTTAAAGGTTTTCATACCTTTTAAAAGGTAGGTGGAAAAGGCCAGTTTTTTAAGCAATTTGCAATGTGAATTAATAAATCAATGCGGTTTAATAATAATTAATTAACCAATGCGGTAAACTACTGTTTCCCAGAGTAGCTGAACTATGCCATGTATGTATTATATCTGTGCCTAGTTTGGTGCAGAAGAAACTTTTACTCTTGGCACATGAGGAATTGCTCTGCAGAATGGGGTGGCAACCTTGACTCTTAGTGTATCTTATAGCAACGAACACACGGAGGATGCTAAACGATCAAAATGATGTCAAACACAAAAAGAAAAGAAGATAAACAGCCATCCCTCTTTCAATTACAGTAATTCAGTGGAAAAATTAGAAACATACTCTGCCAGTGTAATAATCTGTACAGAGCCTCATTAAATGAATATTTTGGAATGAGCTTGCTCAATCAATGCTCTCAGGGGTGGTGCTCCTTATATGCCATGTCTAAACACTTAAAAATCCAAACTCCTTTTCTTATCTTCCAAAAACCTAATTCCTCCATTACTGTAGAATATATAAATTGTACTGTACCTCTCTGTAATTCTCACTGACTCGGTCTAAGCTGAGAGAATATATCAGGTTTTTTCCTCCAACAAACAGTCGATCTTGATACTCATCCAGAAGCATTACATGAAGGCCAAGGTATCCAGACGGACTATGAAAAACTGATGTTCGGTTCATATCCCATAGCTCTGAAATACAACCAGACTACGTGTTACAAATACTGCAGGGGTGTGATATTTTTAATGCTATGTTCACACTCTCCTAGACGTTAGGTAAATTGCTGTTCTGTTTTCATTTTCAAAATTCTTTAGAAGGCTGCATGTAGATTTTTTTAGTGTAATCTTTCGGTACAACCAAGCATTGATGTATACAAAGATTTTATTTATAGAATCATAGAATGTAAGAGTTGGAAAATACCTTGGAGACCAGTGCAGGAATCCTGTATTACAACAGAGAGAAAGAAATATGCCCTTAGAAGGATTCTTTTACATCTGTATGAAACATCTGCTATTAGAACTAAAAACATGTTCTAAAATCTAGAATTTTCAGAATTCTGACAAGTTTAAGGTGGGTTGGAACCTGCACGCTTTTGACAGGTTGATCCTTCAGAACTGGAGAAGTTACCATAATTTCCAAAAATAGTGCTGCAGCAAGTGTTAGTCTTTAAAATACTGCAACACTGTATTTACCTATAGGAAGCAGAGCACCCTCACCCCTAAAGAATGCAAATTGAAATAGTTGTCTTACATTTGCTGATGACAATGAAAGAAGCAAAAGAATGGGCGGAAGATGCAAATGACTGAGGACAACTTGCAGCTTGTCTGTGAAGATTAGAAGAGATGGCCTACTTGCCTGGTGAATTTAACACCTTTAAAAACACCAAAACAGGGTTTCTCCCTTTTCTTGCTTGCTTGCCCTCTCTTCCCCATCTCCATCCTGTTCCCTTCTGTTATCCATGAAGCTCTTTAAAGCATGAACCCAGCTGATTTTATCTGGGCTTGGAAACTACACAAGGGTTGGATCTGTCAGGGAATTCCAGGCTGTAGACTACGCGGGGAAATAAAACAAACCAACCAACAACAAGGTGAAAGCCAAAAACCTGGGAGAAAGCAGTGGCAAGTCAATTCCTTTTGTTGGTGGAAAAGCTACATGACTGTTTTAAGTCGCCAGGAATCAAGCTCAACTTGAAGAGACTTTGGTTTCCTTTGCTCCTGAACCCCTCCCTCTCTGTCCAGGCGAACTCACAGAGTTCACTGCAGCCCCAGGTATGTGTGCAGAGTATTTCTGCTTTCATCTGAATCACGGAAAGTGATATAAAATAACCCAAAGGCAGGTGCTCATCAAAATCTAAACCTTAACTTAGAATAGTTGATTCACATATCTGTAAATTTGCTCAAATGAGAGTTCGTCAATGTGAAGTGCCTAAGCTATTATCAACTTAATCCACAGACACTGAATAAATATTCCTTTACAAATGATACTTCATTCAGAATGGTAAAGAGCTTTCTTACAGTGAAAGATTTTATTCAGCCTATTTTGCAGCAAAAATGCTTACTTCACCCCTTCTTTAACCTCTTGAAAAATCTTCTTCACTCTCATTAGTTCTATGGATCATTGTTTCAAAAAATATTCCTTTCAAACTGTTGATTAAAATTTAGAACATACTAAAAATGTCAAGGGCTTATTTATGGAATAACTATGCAGGTCACTGCATTCCAAGCAATACTATATTAACCTGTCCAATATAATAGTCTACAAAATTCATGTAATATGAGCAAGCATCATAATGGCATCTCGTATCTCAACTATCAATTTAGGAAAATATTGATAAATTGGTTTCCTGAAGTTCTGGAATCTGGGTATATATATCAGGATATTGGCAGACTACCAAGGAATTTAATTTATTAGGATTTTTTAAATGCCTAGTGGAGGAGTGTAAAAGTACTGACAATCTTTTTAAAATTATTATTGTTATCAAAGAAGTAAACAGGTGAAAAGAGGAAGGGGAAAAAGGAAACAAGATTTGGGGATTATAAAATAACTACTCTAATCTAGTAGAGCGTAATCACAATGAAATCCCATTTGATCAATGTAAATAAATCAGTGAAATATTTAAAACTCTTTAACGTTCTCCAGATGGTCCTTGCTTAGTCATTTGACACCTGCCTGAGTCAATTACAACATTTTGAAGATTAATTTAAAAAGTATTTATGAAATGCCTCTTAATTTTAAAATCAGAATTGTGCCCAGTTTTGGGTGCTACAATTTATGAACATGACATCCTCCTATGCTACCATCTTATAGCACCGCTTCTGCATGATGGCAGGGAGGATGATCAGGAAACCAAAAATTAAGTCCCAGGAGAAAAGATGGATGACATTCATAATGCTTAGAGCTCAGAGCACTTTTCAAACACTTGAAAGAAGGTCACACAAAACATCAAGGCCCTCTTCTCTCTCATTCCAGAGTGTAGGAGAAGGAATAACGGATTTAAGTTATGGGAAGGCAGTTTCTGGTTAAATGTCAGGAAATTTTGACAAGGGAACTAATTGCCCAGTGAATTGCTGGGCTGTCCCACCCTGGATGGCATCAAGCAGAGACTGGACAGACTTCTATGGAGGATGCTTTAATATGGATCAGCAAGGAACAGTCTGGAGCAGATAGCCAAATTGGCTGCTTTGGTTTCATGATTCTATGAATCTCTGCATTGCAAAACATTAAGCATATTGACAGACATGAAGCTATTATTACCAATGATCCAGAAAACTGTCACTGATAATACATGTTTGGAATGCTTAAATCCTTTTTTGGATTTTGAAGGGTACTTTTGCCTTCTTGTATATTGGTACTGCTGTTAGTGACATGCATTTTTTTAAATAGAATACAATGTTTGCCATCTTCAGTTTTCACTTTGCAGACAATGTACTGTTGCATTAATTGTATCTCTAGTTTCTGTTCAAAAACACCAACTAGTCTTTATTACAGAGATCTCTGGCCGGTCTATTCATGACTGCACAATTGCTCCTGACAACATTCTACAAATTGTCTGAGAGCTCACTTACACCTCCACATAAATCTATTGTCAAATCTATTTCTTCTGGACATTTAGCTATATAAAATAAATATCAATGTATAAGGAGGATTTTAAAAAAGGAACCTTTGTAATATATAATTAGTGTTAGTAATCACTTTTAAACTCCTACATAGCTTGGGGCCAGGTTATTTGAAGAACCGCTTTCTCCCAGTTATATCTACCTGACCCACCAGATCAGGGAGGCAGGGTATGTTATGGGTCCCCCCATTAGAGGTTCATCTTGTGGGACCTAGAAAAAGGGCCTTCTCCATGATGGCTCCCTCTCTATGGAGCATCATACTCCCGGAGACCGATTGTCACCTTGATATTCTTTCGAAAGCCCCTGAAGACATGGTTTTGCCAGGAGGCCTGGAGATCTCAGGTTGATACAGAGCCCATCAAATGGCTAGTTTGAATGTGTTATGGTCGCCAGGGGGGTGGGGTCTGTACTGGGTTTTGTATTTGGGATCTAATTTCTGTAAGCTGCCCAGAGTCACCTTGTGTGAGCTGGGTGGCCATATAAATTTTTAAATAAATAAAATAATAAAATGATTCAATTCATACTGATTATTTGCACCCCAAATGTGCTTCTACAAAAAAAAAAGGGGGGGGGGATTTTATATGGTTTATATTATCTACTATAGGTACACAGGTTGCAAACTACTATGTAAAAAACTGTAGTCAGAAGTGGCAATGGTGTTTTGTTTGTCAATGTTAAGGGCAGATTTGTTGAATTTAAGAAGCTCAGAATATTCTGAGTTAAAAAAAGATCCAGTTTTGACACAAGTTTGAACTGGCAGCACTTAGATTTGGTTTCTAGAAATGTTGTATAGTACATTTATATTCATCCAATAAATAAGTGTGTTTGGGGAGGCATTACTTGTCATAGTGAAGGGCATTATTTTAATACACAATTTTTTATACTCTCTATATATTTCACATAATGTATAAACATACATATAACAGTGCACTCTATCTTATAAAGTTTTAACTTGCTTTGTGCTTTTTAAAGAGCACAGCGTTCCCCCCCCCCCACCTCATCTCTTGGTTAAATGACTGATTGTCTTTGAATAAACAAGTTGACAAGGCTGGAAAGTTGCAAAGAGAGAGGCCCCTGAATTCCACAGAGATAAGGAGGTGCTAAGGCATGGTATTTCCTTGGTAACAAGAGAAGAAAGTTGAGCTGACTTTCTCCTTCTGGGACCCACCTTCC